ACTGCGCCTTTACTGTCGCACGACGTTGTCTCATTGATTTGAGTTCTTTCTTTTGCACGATTAACACAATTTTGATTCATATGTGAATTGCTGATTTTAGGTTAGAATAATTTCGTAACATCGCACGTGATAATGAGTTATATTCTCAATTCGCACTTTTACGCTTACTCTTACGAATGCTATAAGATAGATTATATCTATCCGCGTGCATACTCTCGATAGCAATATAGCTGATTTTCCTTTCCGATGACTTGATGTGGCGCAAGTTGATGCCGGACGAAGGGCCTTACTTGACAAAAAACTCGCGCATTTTCTGCCTGTATCCGGCTCGGAGGACCAAAATGTTCATGCGGTTATATGTCGTAATGGTACTCATGATAACACACATTCTGCAACAAAAAACACAATTCTTTAATATAGATAGTATAGGGTACACGGTAAAACACGGTTGACAAAAAAGGGGATAATGTTAATGCGGTGTAGCGCGTGTTTGATGAGACGATTCAAGGCTCGAGAAAAACTCTGACGGAACATCCCAAAACTAAAACTAGAAAGCGCTGCGGAAGAAAAAGCGTGTGTTTTGACATTGACGCTATTATGACATTGAACTATTATAAATGCACAAACATTATTAGACACGAGATTTTTGCGGATAGACATGCATAGTCGTGTATTATGAACATTTTCATTATTCTTATCGTACATTGAAAAAAGACAAATAAGACCAGTAACAAACTTTCGAAAATGTCAAAATATAAAAACAAATAAAAGGCTAATGAAAGTTATTAGTGGGAAAATAAGAATCGTTTATTATCAAAAGATTATATATAATTAATTACGCTTAGACGTTTTGGTTTGCCTTCAAGCCACTATCAGTATGTCTAAACATATACTCGTAAGTTATCGTTGTCGCCCGCGGAAGTAGATCTTATCCAATTCGGTTTAGGGAGCGAAGCTCCGGATATTGATTGTAACTCGGTTCATTAAATATAATTGTTATCTATTTCATTATTAATTTGTGTGTGGTTCTTGCAACCTATCTCTCTCGTCCTTCGACAATTTCTCCACCTTTAACGAACCCCTGTTTAGTGATACCAGATTGGGCTCGGCATTTTACGCCATGTGGAGACGAGCCGTTGTGACACACACAAAGACATGAGCCCATGTCTTGTATCACCTGTCTGATTCGACCAGCTTCGGGTGGTAGAAGAGAGCGATATTTCTCGCTGGGCGCTTATTTCAAGTGACCGAAAATGCTTTCTCGGCCGCTCGACGTGTATCGATAAGGAACAATCTGGATAATATGTAACTTTTAATAAATTGTAATGTTATATGACCTTTCCATTAATCCCAAATAATACAAATCTCGTCAAAACGCGATAGTTTACGAGATTAATTGTTTACGATTTTCTATGGGTATTATATACCGTGTTTATAAACTTGATTAGCAAGAAACTGGCATAGTTTTTGATCGATATAATTTTTAAAATTATTCGTGTGACCACCGAGGCTGGTCTAATGGCTTAGGACGCTCGTATGGAACACAAGAGATCCGGGTTCAAGCCCCGATCGAAGTAATATTTTTTGCAATAAATTTATTAACAGTTTTAACGTATTGACATCTTTATAATATGGTGCTTGATGGCATCAAATTATTAAAATTGCTTGTCAATTTATTTCGTGATTACTAGAGTAGTTTTAATTTCATTTATAAGTCCGGAAAAACAATTCGGCGCGTAATTCGAAAAGACTACAATATGCAAATACATATATAGTATATTAGTAGTTCAAGATTAAATTATTTAAAGCAATGAAGATCTAGTTTCGACCGTAATAGGCATTTCTAGTTTTATACTATAACTCCCGTAAACACCAACAAAAATAACATCGATGTTATAATTTCTTACTTAATATTAATACTCGTATATTAAATTTAATACAAAATGCGAGTGTATTTATATAAAAAAATTATAACATATTAATGTTATGTTAATGATAATTGGTGGGACAGATAAAACAAACTTAGCATGACACCTTTCCTTATAATTTTTTGTTACCGATGCGGAATAATTCTGATAAATAGAAATGAATCTAAAATAAGAGATATACGAGGTCTGTTCAAAAAGTATCGCGAATTTTGAATCTCCGCGGGTTACGTATATTCGATTTTCGATTTTTTTGTGGCATCATGTTGGTACTCATGTCTCTCACTTATGTCGACAAGTTCGGCCATTTTGAATGTTCAGTTAATTTTTGACAGCTGCTTTGCTTGCACGTGTTTTGGCTCGTCTTCGATTTTTGCCTATTCCAAAAAATGGATCAAAGAATCTGTATCAAATTTTGTGTGAAAAACAAAATTAAGTGCGCGGACACATTCCGAATGTTGACTGTGGCATATGGTGAAGCTACCTTGGACCGAAGCAACGTTTATCGGTGGTACAAAATGTTCTCAGAGGGCCGAGAAGATGTGAACGACGAAGAGCGTGCCGGACGCCCGAGCACGTCAACAACAGACGAAAACATTGATGAAGTGAAGAAAATAGTATTGGCCAATCGGAACGGTCAATAAGGAATATTACCTGCAAGTTATGCGCAATTTGCGCGAAGCAATCCGCCAGAAACGCCCGGATTTGTGGAAGAACAAAAATTGGCTTTTGCACCATGATAACGCCCCTGCTCACACATCGTTGCTTGTGCGCGAATTTTTGACCAAAAACAACACACTAATGATGCCGCAGCCACCGTATTCCCCAGATCTGGCCCCCTGTGACTTTTTCTTGTTCCCGAAACTGAAGAGGCCCATGAAAGGACGACGCTACGCTACGATTGAGGAGATAAAGACGGCATCGAAGGAGGAGCTGAACAAGATCACAAAAAATAATTTTTTGAAGTGCTTCGAGGATTGGAAAAAACGTTGGCACAAGTGTATAATATCTGATGGGGATTACTATGAAGGAGACAAAATAGATATTCATGAATAAATAAATAATTTTTGAAAAAACACAAAATTCGCGATACTTTTTGAACAGACGTCGTATGTTAAAGACAAATATCTGTTCCACTAACTTATTAACGTAATATATTATAATTTTTCGCACAATTATGTAACTGTTACATACACTCGCATTATATTGAATTTGATGTATTGATATTGAGTGAGAAATTATAACATTGATGTTATTTTTGTTTGGTGTTTACGGGAATTATAACATTTATATGCATTTCAATACTAACACAGTATAGCTGATTTTAAAGGTTTTCAATTAGAAATTCCGGCAGCATCAATTCATTTTTGTTTCAATTTAGGATCTTGATCAAATCTTAGCAGCAATATTCTTCATTGGAATTTGTGCATCTCGGAGCATTGCACCTGGCATTTTGTAATATATAAATATCTGAAATTCGTAATTTTATTTCATGTTTATATGTACAATAGAGGAAGATATATATTTCTAATATTAATAATTTGTATCACTTCTAAAGACTTGACCAGTTGTAAAATGACAAACTGCTACTTTTTCAACTCTTCTCTAATCTATTCGAACTAATTTCTGCATCCATGAATGTCTTATAAAGTTTTGATAATTGCGCCAATCAGAGGAGACCAAGTCACGTGATGCAGTTTGTCACTCTCTCCCTATGAGGCTCTCTAATACATAGTAATTCATATTGACAATACTCTTTCGGGATTAGGTGAATTGCGATAATGGAGCAGAAGAGAAGAGATACGTGACGATGTGTGCGTTTGTACAGGATATAGTCCGTTACCAGACTTTGAATAAAGAGTGTCTCAACAGTTAATATCGTATATCACGACTTGTGAGTTATACGCCCTTTCCTTCCAAGGAGTCTTTTAGATTCCCTCCTTCGAATTAATCCTGACAACATTTCTTTCCCTTTCAAAACGTTATTATTTTGGAAGTTATACACGTGATCG